GTATTAACATTGGAGAGGCTAGCGACTAGCATGGATAAGTTGGTATTAACATTGGAGAGGCTAGCGACTAGCATGGATAAGTTGGTATTAACATTGGAGAGGCTAGCGACTAGCATGGATAAGTTGGTATTAGCATTGGAGAGGCTAGCAACTAGCATTGATAAGTTGGCGTTAGCATTGGAGAGACTAGCAAGTAGCATGGATAAGTTGGTATTAGCATTGGTGAGGCTAGCAACTAGCAAGGATAAGTTGGTATTAGCATTGGAGGGGCTACCGGCTAGAAAACTTTCTCAACAAAAATGGTTGGATGGTTGAATAGTTGGATAAACTGCTAGTGCCAGCTTCTCTGATGCTAACGCCAGCTTATCCAGGCTAGTTGCTAGCCTCTCTGATGCTAACCCAAATGAATAGTCTCCTTCTCATTTGCCAGCACCGGCCTCTCAGTTAGTGGTGCCGGCCTATAATTAATCCGATCAATAGCTGACTTAGGAGTAGATGACAGCCTCCTGCTACATGGACGTAGCAAATGCTGGTTGTGTTGCGCAATAGTTTTAATTTTGTCCCTCATACTGTCCCATACAAAACAACTAAAAATTGAGTTTCAAATGCTACAACATGTTTAAAAGAACTTGTGATGCTAACTTCAGCTTATTTTATTTTCAATGGATCTTTGTTGCTTCCTGATGACTTTTGGTGTCAAATTATGAGAAAATGGGTCATTAATTAGTTTGTTTACCACTTATTTTAATATTTAACGATCTCAAAATGGATGTTTTGGATTTTGGCTGCATGGTTCCAACTATCAGAAGATGCTACAAAAAAAAATCAAAAATAAAAAGCTTAAAGTTTTTCCAGACGGTCCAACCAGACCCTCAGCCCCCCCGACACGCTCCTGCCCAAACTTAAGGCATATTTTTGCATGTTGGTCCACATTCGGACCTGATCAGAACCCGCCTGTAAATGACATTTCTCCAGACCTGGTCCAAAACATTTCTGAGTTTAAATCCTGCTGCACGACGCAGAGACCGGACCGGTCCGGTCGGACCCCGCCTCTGTGTGTTTGTGGTGCGGCATGTGACCCAGAGACCGTCCTTTTAGCAACAAAACAACAGTGTTTGTTTACAGAGGTGACGTTTTAAAAACCTCCAGGACCCGGTCCTTACGGCTGCAGGGTTCTGGTCCACAGCAAACAATAAATGCCTTAAGGAAAACCCTCCAGTCCAGATCCAGATCCAGTATTGAAGCTTTGAGCTGTAAAAACCGCCCAGTTGCACTTTCTTTAATGTAAACTTATTGTATTTGCTTCAGTTTTGTGCAATATATGATTCTGATTCTGCTGGTTAATCAGCCATGACAAAAAAAATCAATGTTCTGAGCACAAAATAAGCTGAAAATCTATATTGATATTTTTCAAACAGGAAGTCTGTAAGAACTCGTCTGTCTCGTCCTCGTCGCTCTCCTGTCGGCAGCAGGTCGTGTTTCAGTCGCAGAACAGGAAGTCCGCAGCGCAGGAAACGCTGACCCTCAGGGTGTGAAATCCATCCCTGCAGGGCGTGTCGCTGCCAGGCTGGTGTTGTGACAGAGATTTAAAGAGCTAACAGGTAAAAATGATTGCTCGACAGACGGAAACCCGGCTGGACTCGTGAGCAGGAAGCTGAGAAATAAATCCTGAGCCGTGAAAAAAATAAAAACGCCGAGCTCGGGTGTTTGCACATAGTTCAGGTTTCAGGAACAGAAACACAAAAACATCACTGTGAATGTGGTGAACAATGTGAAGCATCGTCGTTTACAAAAAAACACTAAAACAACTTTGAGTCGAAGCTTGAATTATTTTTATTTATTTTGTAATTTCACTGCCTGATACGAGTCAAATTCTAAACAAGTCTTTGAGGATGTCGGGTAAAAAGAGCTGAACATTCTTTTGATCCGTTTACCCAAAAACTTTGTAAACTTTATGAAAACAGTTTTGTATTTCTTTTTCTTCGCAGATGAAGCCAAGGTCGACTTTTTGTATTTCCGATCAGGATTTAGAGTCAGAACTCCTCTTTAGCTGCTCGAACTGTGTAAAAATAACTGAAACACTGATTTACTGCGGTTTGTCTGCTCACCTGTACGGAAGCCTGAAACTGACAAAATTAAGATTTTTTTTTGTTTTACTAAAAAAATATTAAAATGACAATAAGTTTTACCAAAATATAAATAGTAAGTTTTATTTTTATGTGTAATTATTTTTATTCATTATCTGTAGCTTGATCAGGGAGGTTCGGCTGTTTCCAGACCAGCTGAGAGACTTCTAGTCCCTCCAGGATGTCCCAGGTCTTCCTTAGTGTGTCCTCTCAGTTGGACTCCACCTCATCATGCTCTTCTGGACAGCTTAAAATGTGTTCAGTGGTTCATGAGATATTTTGCTAACAGTTGACAGAGCATGAACACATTATTGTCCACTTTTTATGGTGGCAGGCAAAGTTGTACCCAAGTAAAAGTAGCACTACTTCAATATATTTTTACTCAAGGGAAATTAGCGATACTTCATAGTAATATAATTAAAGTAAAGTAAAAAGTACAGTACAGAGACTATTTATGCTAGCATCAGAGAGGCTAGTGGCTAGCAAGGATAAAATGGCATTAGCATTGAAGAGGCTAGCGGCTAGCATGGATAAAATGGTGTTAGCATCAGACTTGTTAGTGACTAACATGGATAAGCTGGCGTTAGCATTGAAGAGCCTAGCAGCTAGCATGGATAAGTTGACATTAGCATTGGAGAGGCTAGCGGCTAGCATGCCTAGACTGCACACCTACTTTATTAGACACAAATTTTTTTAAATAAACAAAACTTTCACAACAAAAATGGTCAGATGGTCAAATAGTTAGATAAACTGCTTGCGTCAGCTCATCTTGCTAGTTGCTAGCCTCTCTAATGCTAACGCCCGCTTATCCATGCTAGTCGCTAGCCTCTCCGATGCTAGCACAAATGAATAGTCTCCTCATTTGCCAGAGCTGTTAAAATGCTCCGAAAATATATATTTTTTCCAAAACGTTACTCAATTAAATATACCCACCTGTTTAAAACATGACTTTAAAAGAAATTCTGATTAAAGTGAGTTTAAAATAAACAAATAGTATTTATAAAATGTAAAAAAAAAATCTAATTTTAAGTATTAACTTAAGCATTTTGGCATATAGATATATTTATATTTTAGAACTCTGAACATATTTTTTTTATTTGTCTGTTTCAGTCTTCCGTACATTTTCTGTTGTTTGCTTCTTTTTTTAACAGCTCAAATAAAAGTTCCTTTAGGAGAAAAAATGTTAGTTTTAGTCAAAGGTACTCATTACAGAAGTACGAATCAGAAATAAGTTTTGCTTTATTTGTGGTCTGCGCTCAACGTCAACAAAGCACTTGTCTGAAGTTAAAGACGTGGACATGAGGAGAGTATTGTGTAGATTTTTTGCAATGAGAACTTTTACTGTGAAGTGGTCTCGATCCAGGAACGGGTTTTTGTTCAGCTGCAGTGTTTGTCGTCGCCCTCCGTGCGTTTCTTCATGCCGTCCTCGTTTGCAAGGCGTTGGACTGTAAAGTAGCATGTTTACACAGTGGAACATTGCCGGCCGGATTGTCGAGTTCGAACCCGGGCAGATGTGGCTCCGCCTCCAGGGACAGGACTGTCCGCCACGCCCCCGGCAATGTTCCGCATTTCCACGAACTTCTGTACTAACCGTCGGCTTCTTCGGCCTTTGCTGTTCTGTAGCATAGATGTGACCCCGCCCACCCGGCCTTCCATCTGTGTGCGTCTGTGTTTGCCGCCCCTTCCGTGTTCCTCTGCACATGCATGACGAATCCCCGTGTTAGCAGCATGTGATGGACATCATTAGAAAAAAATAAATTAATTAATAAAAAAACACAGCTGCGTTCAGAAACCAGATCACACGTCTGTCAGGAGAGCCTACTCTGTCGTGTCCAGGCAGCTCCCACCTCATCCTTTTTGTTTGTTTGTTTGTTGACAGGTGATATTTGTGTCTGTTTGTGCCCCTCCCCCTCCCCACAGGTCTTGCTCTTCAATGTGTCTTTCTGTGAAATTGTTTCCTGTGATGAAAATTTCTCCCTGCCTGAATCTTTGTAGGGAAACTATGACTGATTTATTCTAACGTGATAGAAATATTTATTCAACATTCTAATAAATTAACTGAAGTTTTTTTTTGTATGAAATGCAAAAAAAAAAAAATACTTGTTTATAAAAAAACATGGCATGAGGTGTAAACGTGTTACTGAAAGAAGGTCTTTATCAAATGAAATTGACCTTTTAAATATAGTTTATTTATTTTAAAGGTTTGACGTGTCCGTGTCTTTATTTTTTGCACAAAATGAAAAATGCATGTGGAAGGAATGAAAGAATTTGTAAATAAACCAAATGTTTGATAGAAATTAATATAAAATTACATGTTGAAAGTAAAATATTGTAATTATGTTTATGCTGGCTCGGAGGACAGAGTGTAAATTAATTTTAAATAAGGACACTAAATCTTTCATTTTTGACAGTAATATGACTGAAAAAAGTGTTAATTGTTTTTGGAAACAGTTAGATCACAGGTTTTATTTTTAAGCAAAATGTGAGCAAGATAGAAAAAACCTGTTTGAAATCAAAATTTCATAATTTAATCCATTTTAGGAAAAGCAAAACACAATGATTGTTTTATTTGTGTGATATTTATTTCAAAAAGTTGGCAAATACACAAATATTAGTTTTCTAAAATAAAATAAACGAGTAAAACGTCGCCCTGCCCTGCCTATTTTACACACTCCCGTCCAGTAGGTGGCGCTAACGTGCCGTAAAGCTGGAGATGCCTCTGTCGTAAAGAAGAAGAAGACGTTGCAGCAGCAACGCGGGTCGGTCGGAAGCTCTTCTGCAGTAAACCCGTTACGGAAGCACATGAAGGAGATCGAGTACGGTTTCTGTGATCGGCTAACAAGCACTTCGGTGTAATAAGGTAATTATTAGTTGATTCTTCAAACACGGCTCTAAAGTTTCGGTTGAGGCGGTTGAATTTTCGAAACAAAATATTAATTTTTATTCGCGGAAGCGGGGTTAAGGACAGCAACTAGCTAACGCGTGCTAACGCCTTTGTTTATGACACAAGGCCTCGACTAATTCCTGGATTTAATTGTTTTTAGATGCGTTTAGGTTTTGCGTCGTGCGCTTTATTTGACCAGATTTCTATCGTAACATTAGCTTGTATTTTCCTTTAGTGTCTCATTTGAGAACATGGCCGGTGTTGTGCTGAAAATAGTACCCCGAGCGTAAAGGTGCACTAAATATTAGAAAGCGTTCTTGATAGAGAACAAAATGAAAGTAAAACTAAAGAGTTGTATAATCGGTATTTTTATTGGTTTCTGTTTAAGACTGTGTCCCTAAAGGCTTATTTTTTCTTGTTTTTCGTACTGAAACTTATTAAATGATGCTTCCTGTGACCGGTGTGCCTCTTATTTCAGGGGTACGTTTTTCGGTATAGCACCGAGTCCTGCTCTGCGCGCGAACACCGTCTGCACTGCGTCATTTTCTAAATATTACAAACCATTTATATCCTAGACTAAAGCTGGCACAGGTGATCTGATAGGAGTTAGAGAATAAAATTCGTTCCAACATTCGTTCTCCCATGTTTGTTATGTGTGTCTTCTCCGAACAGATTCAATTCAAAAATACTTTATTGATCCCAGAGGGAAATTAGGTAATACAGATGTTCTAAACTGCAAGTTCCTAGTCTGTTTATCATTGACAATGGCAATAAAGCTCATTCTGATTCTGAAAATCGTCTTTTAATCTCTTTAAAACACCGGCCATAATGGCGCTGATCCAACAAACTCAGAAATAAATTATTAAATAAGACACCTTGAAGGAGTCCTGTGCATAAATAAATAAAAGCTTAGTTAAGGAGAACCGTGAGGCGTTCACTGACCTGAGAGATCAGCAGGACGTTTTGTTTTCTTTGGGTTTTTTTTTTTTTTTTTTTTTTGCAAACACAAAAATGTCAAATTACTTAAAATAATTTTATTAAAAAACATTTTTCTTATAAAGTCCACTAACAAAATGTGTACTGTGGTAAAGGTTTAAAGAAACAAATCAAACTAAATAAATAAATCTAATACTTGGACTTGAGTTTTTTAAGGCCAATAGACCAAACATGAACTATAATAAGTATCATTATAAATATTTAGGCCCATTTTTGTAACAATTATCAACATTCCTCGTGCAAGTTTTCTCTTGTTCTGAGTTTGCTCTTCCCGTGCAGGTTAGGAGACATGTCCTACTACTCATCGTCCCGGAGTTCATCTCGGGTCACCGACTGTAAAGTGTATGTTGGCGACCTGGGCAACGGCGCCGCCAAGGGGGAGCTGGAGCGCGCGTTCAGCTATTACGGCCCGCTGAGGACCGTCTGGGTGGCCAGGAACCCCCCCGGCTTCGCCTTCGTGGAGTTTGAGGACCCCAGAGACGCAGAAGATGCTGTTAAAGGCATGGATGGAAAGTAAGTCGCCTTTTCTCTCCTGTGAGTTTTAAAGCTAGCTGAAGACAAAGCCATTGTTTGAAACTTCCCAGAGTCCTGTGTGGTTCCCGTGTTCGTGTGGAGATGTCAACGGGCCTCTCCAGGAAGGGGCGTGGGCGCCCCAGCCGCCGCCAGTTTGACCCCAACGATCGGTGCTACCAGTGTGGGGACCGGGGCCACTACGCCTATGACTGCTACCGCTACAGCAAGAGAGGAGGAGGAGGAGGCCGCCGCAGCAGGTGAGTGAAGGACCCGTCAGGTGTGATGTGTGTCATGTGAGAGCAGAGGATGCATCATTGTGTCGTTTTCTTTTCAGGTCTCGGTCCCATTCGCGATCCCGCTCCAGGTCCCGCGGGCGCCGGTACCGCTCTCGCTCCCGCAGCCGTAGCCGAAGCTACAGCCGGTACATTGGCGTTTTTCTGTCTTTGTCATATTTGTGTCTTTAACAGTTTTTACACAAACCTCTGGAGTTGTGAGGTTCTGACAGATGAAACGCTGTAAAGTTTAACAGTTTGACCTGTTCTCTCTTTCAGGAGCCGCCGCAGATCTCCCTCTTACTCCAGACGCAGAAGCAGGTCAGTCTGAGCCAAGCTTATAATAGTTCAGGATTTTTTAATTATAGTGTAGTTTTATTTTGTTGTGACTTTTTTCTTTTAATTTAGTTTTAATCAGTTTTTTACAGGGAATTTGTTAGTTTTTATTAGCTATTATTACATTTTTTAATGCTTCGTTTTAGCTTAGTTTAGTTTTTATTAGTTCTAATATTAGTTTTTATAGTATATTTACCAGTGCATCTTCCAGCTTGTGATGTTCCTGTGAGTTAAAGTTTAACTAGTTAATTACGAGTTATATCAGTCCATTATAGCAACACATTCGTAAAATAATAGCGTAACTCAGTTTTGCCGACTAAAAACTTTATTTTAGTGTGGTGACAATAGTTGTCTCCAACCTGGTGCTACTGCTGCTTGTTTTTCACAGGAGCTACTGAGAGAAGCTAGCGGGTCAAGATAGTCATAGTTAGCAAACACACTAAAACTAAGGATATTCTATCTGTAATTTCAGTTAATTTTGTAAAAAAAATATATAATGTTTTACGTAATTATCAGGTTGTTTTTTTTTTTTTCATTTTATTACAGTTTTTATTTATTTTAGTTAACTAAAATGTTTTTTTCCATTTCAGTTTTTGTTATTTAGTTAGTTTTAGTGAACTATAATAACCCTGAGGTTTACTCCTTGTCTGAAGTCTGGTTTGTCTCTGGTCTGCAGTGGTTCAATCTAAACAATCTGTTTTTCTCTTCTCTGTCAGGTCTGGCTCCCAAGCCCGGTCCAAGTCCAAGTCTAGGACTCCTGCAAGGAGGTAGGCTGTGTAAACCAGGTGTTTTTTCAGGTTTTGAAGTCTAAACTTAATCATCAAGGACAAATTAAAACTTCGTTTTCAACCATTTTCACAGATGATTTGCTTTCTTTGACCTACAGTTTATTAGGGCTGTGTATTGGCAAGAATTTGGCGATACGATACATATCATGACAGAGGTGTCACGATACGATATATCCCGATATATTGCGATACTATAAGCAAGGCGATATATCCCGATATATTGCGATACTATAAGCAAGGCGATATATCGCGATATATTGCGATTTTTTTGTCCAAAAATTTTATTAAATAAAAACCTCTTACGGGGGAAAAAAGGAAAAACCAAAATTCATTGTCTCAGAAAATTCTAATATTACATAGACATACTTTTGATACATTTAGCTGTGTTCTGCTTTGTATGTATTTTATTTTATTTGTTTCATATTTC